GCGTCGAGGAGCTCGTCGAGAGTGGCGTGAAAGAGGGTGCCGCTGTAAGTTCTGTGACTGCTGACACACACTGGTTGCCTGGCTGCCTTCACTGATTGGCGGTAGACGGGTGCTAACTAGATAGTGCACGCTGCCACCTTGTTTGCGCCCAAGTCTAGCAGCGCAGCAATGTGCATGAGTGCATGTTGGTGTGATGTTGATGTTGGTGTGATGTGCTCTGTCTCACTATACCTGTCATGTGTACGTGCAGTGAGTGCCACCAGTGCTTGCTGCTGGTGGGCTGGTGTTGGGAAGATTTTTGGCTCCTTTCACGCCAAGGTGGTCTCACACTTGCTGGATATAAATAAGCAGAGCTGTCCAGTGTGTTCCATTCTACAACCTGGATTTAGAGTTATGTCCTTACACAGGCTCTCTCTCTTTCTCTCTCTCTCCTCTTCTCTCCTCTTTTCTCCTCTTCTCTCCTCTTTTCTCCTCTTCTCTCCTCTTTTCTCTTTTTTCTTTCTCTTCTCTCTTCTCTCCTCTTCTCTCTCTCCCCTCTCCCTCTCTCTCTCTCCTCTCTCTCTCTCTCTCTCCTCTCTCTCTCTCTCTCTCTCTCTCTCTCTCTCTCTCTCTCTCTCTCTCTCTCTCTCTCTCTCTCTCTCTCTCTCTCTCTCTCTCTCTCTCTCTCTCTCTCTCTCTCTCTCTCTCTCTCTCTCTCAGGCAAGTTTTGGTGGAATGACATTGTTCTGGCTCTTGTTTCCTGTCTGTGTGTTTGCTGTTGCTGTGTTTCTTGCTATTTAGTTGATGCTTGATGGTCGTGGAATCACTGTCACTGGTTTCGAGAAGGGAAACTTTGTCGGACCAACTGTCCTGTCCAATGTCACGGTAAGGTTTGTTTAGTTTGTTTTGTGTGTTGTTGTTGTTGTACAACACACACTGCCTCTACCACCAGCACCACTTGTCTTAGTTGGCTGTGTGTTTATCAACGCCGTTCAGCGCCGTGCTGTGTCACCCAGGTGCTGTTTTGAGTGTCTTTGTGTGTACATAGCAGCCCTGACCTGAGAGTGCCACTTCCGTATGCGCTACCATCCTGTGTGCGTGTAGCACCCGAATACACTACCGTCTGGCTGACAGTATTGAAATTACCGTCGTTTCTATGGTGCCATGCTTCTGTACACATACTAGGCGTATTGGGAGGTTCTGCTAATTTCCATAGGTCTACGAGCACAGGACGTTTGGGGGAAATCCTTTCGGCAAGCATTGCATCGTAGAGACGACGGTCTAGTTTTAAATACTGTTACGTTGGCGCGGCGGCGGCAATGAGTGCTGCACACTGCGGGAGGTTTCATACTCTTGTGTGGTTGGGTGAATACTCGTATTTGGTGTTTTAATTAACCCTAACGTGCACTTGGCCTATTTGTGTTCTCATCACCTTGCTTTCCTGGTGTTTCACAGTATGCTCAAATTCGCCTGCTGTGTGATCACACCTGCATGATTGTACTTAGCTTGAAATCCTATGGTCTCATGGTGTATGTGCATGCGTGTGTGTGTGTTGTGCTTGTGCGTGCCTGTATGTGTGTTCTTGTGCGTGTGTGTGTGCGTGTGTGCATGTGACTGTGCGTGCCTGTGTACACATGGCTGTGTGTGTGTGTGTGTTGCTGCATGCATATCTCTGTGTTGTACGTACAGCCCGATATGACCTGCTACAAAGAGGAGATCTTTGGACCGGTGTTGGTCATTGTCAACGTGGACACACTGGACGATGTGAGTGGGATTTTTACCACCACTTTCTCTAGTAGCGGTACTTATCCCTCTACTGGCTATTCTGCAAGCTTGCACCTGTGCTGTAATTCTGACAATACGGTCGCTCTCCGTGCATGACCAGTTCTAGTGGAAGGGATTTATGAGCCTGGACCCTGCTTTGCGTGCAAGCACAGTTGCACTCGGTGAAATCCACCCAGAGTGCATATTTGGCGCCCTCAACTTCCACGGCCCTTGACGCTTGGAAGTGACACTAATGCGGCTGAACGTATGCGTGTATATGTACCATTGTGTTGAGTTCTCCTCCTCATTTTAGTTCATCATGCAGCGAGTGTTCAATAGTAAAAAAATGTACACATTTAATGATATATTCGGAACTGGTCCAGGGCGCCAGCGTTGCCCTTTGGCTCGGATTTCACTGAGCACAACTGTACATGTGAATGGGTTCATATTGGTTTAGTGAGTCGTGCAACAGCAAGTGATTGGTACTTGGGGACTCCAATGTCATCCCAAGTTCTGGGTATGTGCCCATCCATGAGTCCAGACAAGCCCACATCAGATTTAGTTGTCGTCTCTCAGTCTTTGATGTCTCTGCTCTTGGAAGACTTTATGTTTATAGTTCTCCTCTGATACTCTTCTTGGCTGTGTTCGCTCTCGACCACCATCACCACTGTTAGTGTGTCTGTGTGTACACGTGTGTGTCTGTGTGTCTGTGTGTATGCGTATGCTTGATTGGGTACGTGTCCATCATTATGTGTATCGGTTTCGGTTTGTTCAGGCTATTAAGGTCATCAACGCCAATCCCTATGGCAACGGCACAGCCATCTTCACAAACTCTGGTGCAGTGGCTCGCAAGTTCCAGTCAGATATTGATGTCGGACAGGTACGTGCTCTCTCTCTCTCCTCTCCTCTCCACTACTCCCTTGCTCGCTCTCTTATTTTGTAGCTATCCACTACTGCTGCCTCTGATGCTGATGTTGCTGATGATTTGACAGACAATAACTAAAATACACACCATGTCTGCACCACGTCGTCCCAGTGACTGATTCTCTGCTACGGTAGACATGAATCAAACTTCACTTGGTTACTGGTGCTACAGTAAACCATTTCGGATTGTCCCTTGGGGAGGTGTCGGCTTCTATCATGCTGACATCTCTAATGAGACCAACCACAGTTCTTTCTCTCAAAAAAATCCCAGAGCATTTTACTATCCGAATGTATTGTAGAGATTGTTGCCAGCACAAGCCAGCATATCATCAGCTGACCTGACAAATGTAGCCAAGTTACTCCTCACTCTCTGAGGAGCCAACCACCGGTTTTGTAGTGTCTACTGCCATGGAACTTAAAGCGAAACGTGCAATGTTTGTTTGCTCTCTCTTGTTGTGTTGAATGATTGGTGAATGGTGGCTACAGGTGGGCATCAATGTACCAATCCCAGTGCCATTGCCTATGTTCTCCTTCACTGGATCGCGTGGCTCGTTCCGCGGAGACACCAACTTCTACGGCAGACAGGTCAGTAAAACTGAAACCATGTAACATGCAATTTTTGGTGTATTTAAATGTCGGTGCCAGGGACCAGGTTTCAGGTGTATGTAGAATTAGGTGACCAGGTTTCCCTTCACATACAGTGTAGTTTAAATTTAGATTCTGTACCGAAATTACGGTCCATTCAGAAAAAGATGGACTTCTAGCTTTTGGCCATAAATGGGTCACACGTTGAGTCTTTTAGAATTTTTTCTGCAATCCCCTATGGAATCCTCTTCCAATTATGTTTCTGAAGTCTATTTCTCCAAAAAGCAAGCCATAGCAAGAATAGGATTTCGGCCAGGTTTTGCCCCAAGAATTGGGAAAATCCATCAAAATCCAGGCCGTTTCACCTTGCCTGCAATAGTGCATTGTACGGTTCGAACCCCAGTTCAGGTACCCTTTTTGGACCCTTTTTCAGATTTCAAATTTCACAGCACTGCACTGTGTACGATAAAATCTTGACAAATCGCCTAATACAGGAGCTCGCCAGAGCCAGGGCCCATCTTTTTTTGTGGACTATAAAGTTACACCGAAAATAACATGTTTTACCGTACTGCCGTCGCTGCCCAGGCAAATCCAATCATTTGTTGGCGCAGTCAGAGACTTGCCTTTTCTTGATTCATATTCCCTTTTGACATTCAACCAATGAAGAGCTCACACACACACACGCAGTCAAGCCTACAGGTGCCATGCACTTTGTCCAGCACACATAAAATAACTGAAACGGATTGTGCAGCTTCACATGTGGGGAACCCGGGTTGCCGAAATAAAAGACTGCCCTCTCTAGATCATCCTTGAATACGAGTAAGTGCTGCGAAATTGGCCATGATACTTCTATTTTTGTGCGGCCTTGGTAAGAAACAGGAAACTGAATTGGTCATTATCGAATCTACTGTACCATCTTATTGTTGGTTTAGGGTATCAACTTCTACACGCAAGTGAAGACGGTCACGACACTTTGGCGATCTGATGATGCCAACGGCATGGAGAAACTCACCACCATGCCCACCATGCGCTAAGCAACAACAGCCAGTCTCTTCCTCCTCACTCCGTCCACCACTGCAGTCTGTCTCTGGGGTGACTTCCCACTGATCTCTTGTATTGGTAACGTGCTGAGTGGGTATGCCCAGTGGCTTCTACTGGTGCCATGACATGTACTATGAATGTTTTGCCTACACATTGCCCAGGGTTGTTGGTCATCACTAGTGTGTGAACACATCCCATGTCGTTACGCAACCGCTGCAGCTGCATTGTTTCATGCCGTCAACCACCTCTCGGTGTCTGTGCAGCTCCATTCCATAGTCGATTCAGTTGTTTTACCAGCCCTTGCTCTACCTACGCTGACATGTATCTTCCCTTGTCATCACTGTTGTCATACCCTATTCCCTATTTTTTACTCCCTACTTGCCAGCAAGAAAATTTATGCTACTCCACAAAACTCACTTATTTTAGAAACTCTCTCGTTTTACATTTCTCCATTTTAGACATCTGAAATCATGTTCAAATAGTGAAATCAAAATTCGTCATCATACATGCTAAAAATAGTGATGGCGGGAGAGGGGACACGTGACCGGGGCAACCCAGGTTGCCTGGGCTTCAAGGGTTTAGGGTGAATACAATAATACTGGGAGGGGGGGGGGGGCTGCTGGGCCAGGACAGTCAGGGGGGGGGGGGGGGCAGGAAGCTACTACCCAGCCTGGGGGGAGGGGGGGGGGCAGGAAGCTAGCCTAGGGAGAGGGGGGGGGGGGCTGCAGGACAGTTTAGAGGTCTAGCCTGCCAAGGTCTGAGAGGGAGGTGCGCAGGGTGGTAGGAGAGAGGGGTAGTGTGTGGGGGTGGTCTGGCAGCTAGGGGATCTCTAGTACGAGGTCAGTAGCGGCCTGCTGGGCCAGGGTGCATGCTCTGAAACTGAAAGGGGCTCCTGGTTACTTGAAGTATTGTTGATGTCCTGTGTACTGCTGCTGCTGTCGCTGCTACGGCTGCTGCTACTGCTGCTGCTACTGCCACTGCTACTGCCACTGCTACTGTCACTGCTGCTGCATCCACGGCAGCTGTCCTACGTAACCATCATGCCCTGTAGAGCTGGTTCATGGTGCTGGTCAGCAGGCATTCATCCTGAGAATCTGGTGGCAGCTTGCGATACTTCTCAAGGATGATGTCATACGCACTCCGTGATCCGCGGATCTCCTCGCGTACAGCCCTTGAGCCCCTAGGTGGAAAATATGTGCCGAAACACAATCAAGTCAGTACACATCATGCACATACATGTGCCAGCACATACACACATGTGTGTACATGTGCACTCACACACACTCACACACACACACACACACACACACACACACTCAGCACAGCACAGCACGCGCACATTATGCACCCTCAAAAATAACGGTCGCACATCGGACATTTTCCGACCACTTTCGGTCGTTGTTCGTGCGAAAGAATCGTGCGACGGACAAAACGTCCGATCGATCTGAGACAAAAATCATAAAAAGGCGACTCCCTGTACAGCTGTGCACACGTACTGCAATCAGAAATGGCGAGTTCAGGGAAGAGAACAGATTGCCATGATGGAGCTCCTCCTGGCAAGAAGCGCCACGCTGTGAATGTGGCCACTTGTGATAAGTGAACTGTTGAGCGCGACAAGGACCGTTCGACATCCATTGCTGTTGGGGTATGAGAGATGCAAAGATCGCCACTTTTAGTTTGTGGTGAAGTGCTTACTTATATAAATTTTGTTTGTATTTGTATTTATGGGTTCTCCGCAGGCCTTAGCCCAAATCGAGGGAGTCTCCGTCAATCGAGGGAGTCTCCGTCTTAGATGCAAGGTTTGTGTGCGGTTCGCCGAGAAAATCTGTTTGTCCAAAAATTCTCGCAATCCTTCATCGTTGGGTCAAGAAATTTGAAATCATCGCGTTTTTAGTTTTTAGTCACCCGCGTATAGAATCATCTGAACAGGATGTGCACAAAATGATCTCTTCATTTCCGGGCTAAGGCGCGCGTTTACATGACGCATTGCGCTTGACCCGGGCTGAGTTTGACCCGGGTCATATTTCAACCCACCATGTACACAAAATGAATGGCCCGTTTACACGACGCATTGCGCTTGACCCGGATTGAAATTTCGCCCCGGCTTGAAAATCGTACAAACGTACGTCTGTGCGTATCTTGCGCCAGGTTTGAATAGCACTGCACATGCAAATTTCGCGCGAAAGTATTCACGTGACCATACAGGACTCTAGAAGTGGACTTTTGGCGGCATATCAGTATTTGACCCGGGTCAACTGTCTTCATGTAAACGCTCACCTCTTTTGTCTATCGTACAGACTTTCAACCCGGGCTGAACTCGACCCGGGTTGAAATTTCTCATGTAAACACAGCCTAACAGTTCACTGTGTCCAGCCCATGTACATGTACCGTTTATAGTTGAATAGCTGACCTGTGTGTCCGAACCTCCGCCTCAAGCAGGTCATAGCCACGCTTCTTCTGCCGATAGTGTTCACTTGCTGCAGGTCAACAAACAACAACATTCAACAACAACAACAAAGATTTGAAACAATGACAATGACAACGTATCTCTTATCGGCCACTGGCTGTTGTGAGAATAAAGATTTCAAGCAAACGTTGACAGCTGTGCCAGCACCAGTGGCAGCCGCGGCGGTGCAGCGCAAGCAACACCAGTAGCAGCAACGCGTACAGCAGCAAAGGTAGCAGAAGAAGAGCTTCACATCACCAGCAGATGATGACATCATCTCATCTCTCTGTTTCAAGACATTACATCATGTCAGGACATGGTAGGATGCACACGGGGGGGGGGGGGGGGCTCACCAAACACATCCATTGCTAACGTAACGGACTGATGCAATGGTGGAGAAATATAGGGGAAATCCCTTTGTTGCCATAAGCAAATCCGGAAATCACTTGGTACAATCTGCTTCCACACGAAGTCTGGACTTTGCTGGAGTGATATCATCACGGACAAAAAAATCCATTTTCCGGATAGGCCAAGACTAGATTAGATTGGTCATGAAGTGTTACCTGGATGTCATTGTCTGAATCTCAACAACAACAAGTTTTCATTATCAAGACAACACAAACATACTGTATCAAGAGTACATAACCCCCCAGAGTATGCAACGCCCGATCCAGCTCTGCATAGGGTCTTGGTCGAGCGTAGTCGGATCTTTGCGTCATAATACCGTACACGTTTGAGGAGAACCCAGGAAGTCGCGGGTACTCTCGGATAAAAAACAACGGTGCCCTGCCTCGAGACCGGCCTTGAGCTGGTGTGAAGTGTTCGCATCATGACATCAGAAGATCCGACTACGCTCAACCAAGACCCTATGCAGAGCTGAATCAGGCGTTGCACACTCTGGGGGGTTATGTACTCTTGATTGTAGCAATTATACCCACATAACTTCGATGGATGCTATCTGATGGTTGAACTGGAAAGAGGACTCGTCATGCACCAACTGTGTAGGCCATGCCGAGGGTTGTACCTGTACATGCACCAACCGTAGGCTATGCCAAGGGCTGTACGTGAACACACAGATGCACGTACCTTTGAACTTCCCACTGGCACATGTTTCCGAGCTAGCACTGGCCTGTGTCTCATCTGCAGGTGCGACAGGTTCATCTGAACATGCTGCATGTGTGCCGGTGCTGACAAACTCTGCGGTGTCCAGAGGTGCTGCTGGTTTGACACTTGAATAGTGATCCGCCATGCTCACTATCTCATCCGCCATTAGCTCGATCAGCGGAGAAAGGGCACACTGGAAAGAGAAAGAGAGAGGGAGAGAGAGAGAGAAAGAGAGAGAGAGAGAGAGAGAGAGAGAGAGAGAGAGAGAGAGAGAGAGAGAGAGAGAGAGAGAGAGAGCGAGAGAGAGAGAGAGAGAGCGAGAGAGAGAGAGAGAGAGAGAGAGAGAGAGAGAGAGAGAGAGAGAGAGAGAGAGAGAGAGAGAGAGAGAGAGAGAGAGAGAGAGAGAGAGAGAGAGAGAGAAAGGAAAGCTTTGCATGCTGGGTCACATTTCACAATGAAGTAGTAGAACTGCATAGTACATGACATCATCCTAACACAGTGCATGACATCATCCTAACACAGTGATGACATCATCCTAACACAGTGCATGACATCATCCTAACACAGTGCATGACATCACATGTTTACACTGTAAACACACCAACACATGCCCGGCGGAACCGGTCCGGTCGGCCCGGCCATGCCACAATGGTCGGGCCATCGTGTTGGCCACCAACATGCGCTTACTGCTGAGGAGTGTCCACGGTTCATACACAAAGTATGAACTGCTATGTGGTATGGCCGGACCGATCAAAACTCCTGCCGGCGGTCCATCATCACAACTGTCCACGGTTTCCCGATACTAAGTAACCCGATACTAAGTAACCCGATCTTCTCCTATCCCACAACTGAAGCAGGCTCCAAGCAAGACTAACACAGACGTGGACATTCTCCAACTCTGGTAGAACAAGTAATGCCGCAAAACGTGATCAGTAAGACATGGTAGCCAAGCAGGCAGAGGTTCTATGAACAGTACAATGCATGCAGCACGCACACCAAGACAACCTACCTTATCTAGCCACTTCTTCGGAATCCCTTCCACTCCGTAGAATGCTCCGGCAAGCTGACCATACACAGCAGCTGTGGTGTCTGCGTCATTGCCAAGGTTTACAACCTGACAACCACATACACAGTGCAGATATAATCAAAATGCATTGGGTATTCATGCTCCTCTGCATTAGTCTTGTCGAGCACTGTCGGTAACAACTGCTCTAGTGCTGCTGCATCACGCATTGCCCGCTACTTTTTGTAGTTTGAGCACTCTGCCGCTAGAGCCACGAGCTAACTTTTAATGTCTGTGGTGGCTCCTTTGCACCATGGCTGGTAGCTCGGCCTATTTAGCTCGTAGCTGTACTGATGAGGCCTCCATGGCCGAAATAGCTTGCTGTCTACAGCATTGAGTAGCAATCAAAATATATACAGTGTATATACACATACAAGTAACAACCACATCCAGTGTATACACATAGCAATCACACACAGACTACATACATAGCAATCACACACAGACTACATAGCAATCACACACAGACTACATAGCAATCACACACAGACTACATAGCAATCACACACAGACTACATAGCAATCACACACAGACTACATACATAGCAATCACACACAGACTACATACATAGCAATCACACACAGACTACATACATAGCAATCACACACAGACTACATACATAGCAATCACACACAGACTACATACATAGCAATCACACACAGACTACATAGCTATCACATACAGTGTACATACATAGCTATCAGAAGATGACAGCAAATGGCACCAACAAGTAACAAGGGTAAGATTTTGGCCGTGACTACTGGCAAGTGCAGAGTTGATCTGCCCCCCCCCCCCCCCCCCCCCTCTCCAGTTCCTGCCCCCTCTCCAGTTCCTGCCCCCTCTCCAGTTCCTGCCCCCTCTCCAGTTCCTGCCTGCCCCCTCTCCAGTTCCTGCCCCTCTCCAGTTCCTGCCCCCTCTCCAGTTCCTGCCCCCTCTCCAGTTCCTGCCCCCTCTCCAGTTCCTGCCCCCTCTCCAGTTCCTGCCCCCTCTCCAGTTCCTGCCCCCTCTCCAGTTCCTGCCCCCTCTCCAGTTCCTGCCCCCTCTCCAGTTCCTGCCCCCTCTCCAGTTCCTGCCCCCTCTCCAGTTCCTGCCCCCTCTCCAGTTCCTGCCCCCTCTCCAGTTCCTGCCCCTCTCCAGTTCCTGCCCCTCTCCAGTTCCTGCCCCCTCTCCAGTTCCTGCCCCCTCTCCAGTTCCTGCCCCCTCTCCAGTTCCTGCCCCCTCTCCAGTTCCTGCCCCCTCTCCAGTTCCTGCCCCTCTCCAGTTCCTGCCCCCTCTCCAGTTCCTGCCCCCTCTCCAGTTCCTGCCCCTCTCCAGTTCCTGCCCCTCTCCAGTTCCTGCCCCCTCCCCAGTTCCTGCCCCTCACTGTCAATTTTTTTTCTTTTTTACAAGTAACTGTGAAGCGACTGATTGATAAAATAATAATATGGTGGTAAATACACGGAAAGTTGGGTGTGGTCCTCGAAAGAGTGCTCAATGCACCGGGGTGCAGAGCTTCATACAAAAAGAATAGAATGGGATACGGAGCTTGGGTTGGCTGTGACTCAGAGTTTCACGCCTGTAGCGATCATCAGCCAACCCAAGCTCCGTATCCCATTCTATTTTTTTTTTGTGTATGGTGGTAAATACACACCTGGCAATATGGCGGTAATACACCCCTGCCCACACACGCTCTCTAGGCTGCAAAGTTATTCTGGCACAGAGCTCTCCTTCTCACAACCATCATCATCATCAGTTGGCGCCATAACTAACCTTCAAACATCCGGACTCAAAGTCGTCTGTATGGTAGAAAGCCCAGAGCGCTGCCTCCAGTGTTTTCACCACGTAACCCGTGCCCTTGATCTCCGGAGGATTGGAGTGCTTGTACGAACCATCCATGACAGGTTTCACAGCAGGATGCTGAAGGAAAAGATGAAAAGAATTCAAGAACGCATGAAAAGTGCACATGTCAGACAGGGCCCACAGGGGTCATTCATATCCTGGTCGTGGACGCATTAATCAAGCTCAGAGGAAGAGAGAAAAAGCAGTGAACGGCTTCAAAAGTAAAACTACTACACTGACCGAATATGGTGCAGTACGTTATTTTGTGTACGTCGAGTGTAACGTGTTGTTGGTACATGCGCGTGTACCTATGACGGCCATTTGCTGGAGTAGTGACCGAACCACGACAACTATACACGAGCTACGCGCCGTGTATCCAGGGTACAGTGAAGCCTGTCTAAGACAACCGCTCAAGGGACCTTCGAGACGTGGTCTCTGTTACCATGTGGTCTCCTTATCCAGGGTCATTTGACTGGAAATAGCATCCCTTGGTCCTGATTGCAGTGGTCTTCTAGGACAGGTGGTCGCCTAGACAGGTTTTACTATATTTTATTCAGGACTGCTTTATTGTAGATTTGTTCAGAGATACAGTGAAACATGTGTAAGACGACCGCTCAAGGGACCTTCACAAGGTGGTCTCTGTTACCAGGTGGTCTCCTTATCCAGGGTCATTTGACTGGACATAGTATCCCTTGGTCTTGGCCGCAGTGGTCGTCTGGGACAGGTGGTCGCCTTATCCGAGTGGTCGCCTTGACAGCTTTTACTGTAATTACCGTAAAGTCTTGTATAAAAGCCGCACTTGAATAGAAGCCGCAATCTTGGGCCCATCAAATCACACATAAGCCTGGTTTTAGTGTTGACATACATAGAAATACCTGTCTTGTATAAGAGCCTGTCTCATATAGAAGCCTGCAAAATTTCACCAAGAAAGTCATAGAAGCCGCGGTAAGACTTTACGGTACGTCTGGGGTATATTGGAACCGGGAAATGGCATGGTGCGTGCAACTGAGCTGCAGCTGTGCAGCAGAAGACCTGCTTGAATCCCGCATGCACTCGCCACATCACGAATAATGATGTCTCGGATTCTCGCCGTAACAGCAACCCATCCGAACTGCACACTCCGCGTTTCGTGTACTTGTCGCTTCATCTACCGTGGTATCTTGTACTTTAAAGGATGTCTTATACAGAACCCTGTTTTGAATACAAGTCTGATTGTCACGGGGCACTGGCGGCACATAATCCTGGCTTTAGTGTTGACATACGTAGAAATACCTGGTTCGACTAGAAGCCTGACTTGAATTATAAGCCTAGCCCTGACATCGGCTTCTACAGGAACTTTTAAATAAACCCGGCTTTTGATACACGACATTACGCCGGCACTCTTGCTGTGAACTTACCACTGGTTTGTCTCTCCTGTCCCAGTATCCTGGCTCAGGACTGTAGCTGCTTGACAAGAGTTCTTCCTTAGACACACCTCGCATACATCCGACCAGCAAGCCGGCAAAGAAGCGACACGAATATCTGGCTTGCGGCGCACCGTGCGTGGTTATTGAGCTGAGGTGGGCTGCCTCCATGGCGACATGGGGCTGCTGCCAGAAGGCCAGTGGAGCGGCACACAGACGCATCAGCGAGCCATTTGAATGTCCTGTCACCAGCACACAGACACAGTGGACACGCGGACATGGCTAACACGTGGACATCATACGGATATAGTGAACACATGGATATAGTGAACTCATGGATATAGTGAACACATGGAGATAGTGAACACATGGATATAGTGAACACATGGAGATAGTGAACACATGGATATAGTGAACACATGGATATAGTGAACACATGGAGATAGTGAACACATGGATATAGTGAACACATGGAGATAGTGAACTCACGGCTATAGTGAACACATGGATATAGTGAATACATGGATATAGTGAACACACTGTGGATAGAGTGAACACATGGATATGGTGAATACAATGGACATGCGAACACACGGACGTCCTGTAAGTCAAGAAATATTCGGCGCATATCTATTTTCGGCCTGGACATGTTTGGCCAAAAATTTGTTGCGGCCGGAATTTAGTTTTGCAAGGTTCCAGTGTGACAGTGTATACAAGCGGCAGCAGTACAGGCCGGAAATTTGATGTGTGTTTTAGCCCTGGGAGGTCGAAATTTGAAGGGGCCGAAAATTTGTCGACAATACAGTAATGAAAACTTCTAGTGCATGGACAGAGTGAACCCACAGACAATAGAGTGCACATGCCCATAGCAGGAGGGGATAATAATGCCAGTGCAGGCAGTACTACAAGAAATAATTTACATTTATAGGGTCCCATAAACTAGCAGACCCGCCTGGCTAAGCAAGACATGAGTGTGTTAAACAAGCGCGAGAAAAGTACGTGATGCAAATGACAGTTTGCGCAAGCCGCAAGGAAAGCACTCAGTCCTCTCTTCCTCATCTTTCCCGCTTCTACAATCCTTTTAAATAAAATCAATCAATGTGTATGGTACAAACCTGCTGATTGGCCGACTTCTGCGTTCTTGCGATTGCTCTGGAACTTGTTGAGCGCCATGCGAGTGGTGTTACCAATGTCAAAACATCTGCCGTTGCTACTCAGATGACCGTGCTAAACACACACACCGACATGCACATACAGTAATACCTGGTTTAAGCAACCACCCCACGGTGCAAGCAAAAGCGGTAGTTAAAGGGGAAGTTAAGGCAAAAATTAATATTTCACCAGTTGTAGTCTTCGGGGTGCTGAGTCGAATGGTCTTGGTCCGAGAAAGCTGAGACGCTCCCTTCCTACTTGAATCCCAATCGAACTCGCGCACTTCCACCGAAACTGGGTGACTGCGCCCTACTAGATGGGGATTTGTATGCAAAATGTCACTAAAAGCGCCATTTCGTTCTTATAAAAGCACGGATGACCGCGATTGGCCCATATGTTGTAGTCTTTTGGACGCTGAGTCGACTGGTTTTGGTCCGAAAAGGCTGCGATGCAGCGTTCCTCCTTTATTCCCAATCGAACATGGTTGAAGAAGCGATCACGTGCTCCTGGGTGCCCAAATCAGCTGGTCACCACGCCAGCAGGCGACAACTTTCACACCAAGGTTCAACTCGAGTGACATGACTGCACCCAAAAAAGGTCAAACAGGCTAGTAAGTTGTACCCTGCAGGCACGGTGACCAGCTGACTGGTGTACGCAGCAGCACGTGACCACTTGTTCAACCATGTTCGATTGGGAATAAAGGAGGAACGCTGCTTCGCAGCCTTTTCGGACCAAAACCAGTCGACTCAGCGTCCAAAAGACTACAACATATGGGCCAATCGCGGTCATCCGTGCTTTTATAAGAACGAAATGGCGCTTTTAGTGACATTTTGCATACAAATCCCCATCTAGTAGGGCGCAGTCACCCAGTTTCGGTGGAAGTGCGCGAGTTCGATTGGGATTCAAGTAGGAAGGAAGCGTCTCAGCTTCCTCGGACCAAGACCATTCGACTCAGCACCCCGAAGACTACAACTGGTGAAATTTTAATTTTTGCCTTAACTTCCCCTTTAAAGCCAGGTGGTCTTTAGAACCAGGTCCCACAGTGTCTGTGTAGAACTGTCGGTGCATGGAAAGACGGTGGTTAAGAGCAGGTGGTCGCTAAACCCAGAGGTCGCTTACACCAGGTTTTACTCTACCTTTGGTGGATTTAACACAACGGAATAATACACGTGTACCCTGTATACGCCCCAGAATATTCGTAAATGTACACAAATTCGCCTTTTGGGTAGAAAACCAGGCATATTTGGTCCAAAATACGAGAGTTGCCACCTTCGCAATGTGTTACAATCAGCAAGATAAATGATAACATTGTCCTTTTCACACATCCCTCTTGTAATTGGGGTACACACCAGTCAATGGTCTATGGTTACCATGGATACAACTAGGTACCCATGGGTATTGTATGATTTAGAATATTCGGAATATTCTTCGTTTCACATGTATTCGGAAAAAGAATATTCGTTCGCTTCATTGAGCATTCGTTTCAGCCCTAATTGACTGTGGATATAACGACAATTCACGAATAACGACAGAATTCCCATGCCCAGAGCAAAGTCCCATCTAACTGTAATACATAATATAAATGAGACTTCGGGTATACGGACACTTAGCGAATAAGGACACTTTTCTGATGCCCCGCCGAGTGTCGTTATACACAAAATTGACTGTACACGCTCTTTTCTGCACTCAAGTAAACCAACAACACTACATGCTTGGATAAGGATAGTCCTATGAAACACTCAATCTGCGGTCAGAACTGTTTTGTCCTTTGTGGACTCATCAGCGCAGCACAGAGGAAATGAGGCCGAGCCTGATAGCAATGAAAAAATAATTTTCCAAATCCAGATTTAGACCAGGCCCGGATGTACCTTGCCAGAGTGCTCAAACTGACAAGTCAGTGAGCTCTGCATGACGCAAAGTCCTATCAAATACATAAATACATACGTACAAAACGAAAACACGTATATAGATGGACAAACAAAGTCTTCAAGAAACAGACAGACAGCCGGATAGGACATAACAGTTACCCCACAGCATGATACACACACACTTACAGAGAACCATTGGCAATAGCGCGCGAGCTGGTCGGTCATGTCAAACTTGCCACACTCAATCAGACTCTCCGCAAGACACAGTCCCAAGCTTGTGTCGTCTGTCCACTGTAGAAACACACACACACACACACACACACACACATATACACACACACACACATATACACATACACACACACACACACACACACACCATTGGACCATTGGACGCCCATCGCCGGAGGCGATGATAGCGATGCTACAAGCGAAGCCATAGCAGCTTGTGCTGGGATTGCACCATTCAACAGCTTGCAAGGCAGAATAATTTACCGCCACTATTCAGCCTGGTCTACATCACACAGCTATGAAGTGGCATTTTCTGGCCAGTGAATCCCTACTTTTTGGTCTTTTTCATATTTTTTCCGCACACACATCACACCACATACTCCGGAATGCACTGGCTGTTGGTAACACGCACGCACGCACCCACGCACGCACGCACGCACACACACACATTAACACACACACACACACACACACACACACACCTTGACCTTGACAAACAGCTGCCGTTAAACGGCTAAGCTGCCCTCATGAGGAGGGGAACAAAGGGGTAGCATCACGGCGTCACGGCAGAACATCCGGTCTCATGCCGCTGCAGATCCTGCTGTCTGCGATATCTCTCGCCGCACGCACAGCAGAACTTGAACTCAAGACGCTCCCTCGCTGTTGGTCGCTTGCCACGCTCGCAATTGTGCCGTTTAAATCCAGCAGCAGATCGAAAGCACCGGTTACATGATGGGCAGTGGAATGGGCAACAAAGTTGGTGTTGAAGCACTAGGCGAGGTGCAGGATCGACAGAGTCCGAAGGCTGTTGGGAGGAACCTGCGAGAGGGCACTTATGTACCTTCAGCCCACCAGCACTCTTGAACCATCTACCACAACGTTGACACGACTTTGCACCAGGCTGTTGGCTGACAGGAAGTTGACGGGCCGCACTGCACTTATGCCGCTTGTACCCAGACGCACTAAGATGACACACACACACACACACACACACACACACACACACACACACCTTGAACCTTGAACGCCCATTGCCGTAGCAATGATAGCGATGGCTTCCCCACGCTGAGGCTCTAAACTCGAAATCTGCAGTATGGCGCATGCCGCTTGAGGTCACCAGGACGACGGAACACTCTGTCACAGCGGTAGTTGGGGCACGGGATGTCTGGGGCTTCCTTCTCGACCCTCTGTCGACAACACTGAAACCAGGTGGATCTCTCCTGCGCTGTGTCATACCAGTCCGCTTCAGGTAAACCGATGACAGCAAAGTCCGAGGACACAACATCCCGCCAGCGCTTCTTGGGACCATGTTGCGGGCGTTTGCAGGGCAGTTCGCCAAACAGCATCTGCTTGGGCAGCCGGGTCTCCTTCATCCGTGCAACATGACCAAGCCACCGCAAGCGGTGCTTCCTGATCACATCAGCCATGTCGACGTCCACCCCTGCCAGCTCACTCAGCGATGCTGACGACAATCTCTCCTCCCATTGCTCACGACGAGAGATACCGAGAATTGTGCGAATACACTGATGGTGAAAGGTGTTGAGTCGGCGAATATGACCCGCTTTGATGGGCCATGTCTCCGCACCGTAGAGAAGAGCAGGAAGGACGATAGCACAATACACCAGCCGCTTGGTGTGGACCGAGAGATGTACGCACTGAAATATCGGAGACCTGAGCACGCCGAACAGCCGGGACGCCTGCGCCAAACGAGCAGCGAGGTCCGCATCCACCGTTCCATCAGCAGAGAGCACGCTGCCAAGGTACCGGAACCCATCCACCATGTCAATCCTGCTATCACCACCGAGTTGAACGGGATCAACTGATGTTGGTTGACCCACCGCCATGCCCTTCGTCTTCCTAATGCTGACGGTCAGTCCCCATCGCTGTGCACACAAGATGAACTCGGACGTCATGCACTCAAATCTCTCTCTGGTGGTTGCATACAACGCTGCATCATCGGCGAACTGGGACTCAGTCACCCTCGTCGCGGATAACCGGGACTTCGCCCTGCGGCCCCCAACCAGCTTGCGACCGTTTCTGAACAGCAGGTCAACTCCAGCGTCTGGACAACGTGCGCGCCAGTCCGCAACCACCACACTGAAATACAGGTTGAAGAGGGTGGGTGCTAGGGCACATCCTTGACGCAGCCCATTAGTCACAGAGATGTTGTCGGAAAGCTTACCGTTGACTTGCACCTTCGCAATCATACCCTCATGAAGGGACTTGATGAGTCCCAACATAACCGGCGGAACACCCAGCCTATCCAGCACACTCCAGAGCGCTGTACGGGGATGGAGTCGTACGCCTTCTGAAGATCTACAAACAAGACGTAAAGAGAAGTATCGTGCTCAATAGTCTTCTCCACTAGTTGACGTGCACAGAAGATCATGTCCGTGCAACCTCGACCTCGCCGAAAACCGCATTGAGAATCCGGGAGAATTTCCTCAGCCACCACCTGCAAACGGTCCTGCAAAACCCGGGCAAACACCTTTCCAGCGACATCCAGTAAGCTGATGCCCCTCCAGTTATCGCAGCAGCGAAGGTCACCTTTCTTGGGGACAGGGACCACCACCGCATTCCGCCAATCATCCACTACTGAACCCTTGGCCCAGATGTCACCCAAGAGTTGGTGGAAACCAGCAAGAAAGTCTGCACACACACACACACACACACACACACACACACACACACACACACACAGCAAGATACCTTGGCCCAATATTTAAAAAGAAGGAGACAAAATTATTATCTAATCGATCTATTATTCTATTCCTCCTTCGTGTTGGAAACTGAACATATTCAGGACTATAATCACCAAACTGTGGCACACACACACTGTGACCTTTACAGCCGCATCACAGTCAGTCAGACTGACTTGCCGGTGTTTGCACGGACACCGCGACGGGCCTCAAACATCAAGGGGTGGATACAGCCGCTACCGTATTTCCCCGAATGCAAGTCGCACCTTTGTACACTTAACATCAAGCGCAAAGAAGGTGGTGTGATTTACAATCGAGTGTGACATCCTATCTACCCGACTATGTTGAAACAATTTGGCTCAATTCTGAAACTGAGGTGGTGGCAACTTATAATTGAGTGTGATGTATGATGGGGAAAATACGGTAAGTGTGGTGGGAGGTGAGTTGATCAGACTTGACCCACCAGAATGTCGTCAAAGGCCGAACCCCTTCCCCAGCACTGCACTGCACACCGTGGATCACAGCACGGGATGGAAAATGCTTCCGCCGCCACACCGTACTTGAACCTGGTACCCCGCCGATCTGTTTCTCAATCGTGATCTAAGACCATCCCAATATGCCTGCCTACAGGCAATACTGACAGCACAATACAGACCCACCGGAACCCGTGCAGCTGCTCAGGTTATCACCGGGCCAAAATTTTAGCCGCGAACACGTGTTTACCGCTACGGAGGTCAAGTGTACCCGCCCCATACAGGTCTACTCTCCATATAACGTAATCTCTGGGACCATGCAAACCTTATGTTATATCGAGAGTTATGTTATGTAGAAACCCGTGTGTAAAATACAAGATGTACCTCAAAATGAAGAGTATTACAAGGCAGGTTTAACCGTGCAAACATATACACACTATACCACCATCGACATCAGATACCATCAATGCCGCAGAATATATGCACAATAGGACTAAACTGGCTAGCTACGGCTACAGCTTGATCGTACCGCGCACGTGATTCTACGTTGTATCGAGACTGCCCACGTCGGGGACCGCGCCATAGGGTGCGTTATGCCGAGGTTTACGTTATGTAGGACTAAACTGGCCTAAACTGCCTAGCTACAGCTACTGCTTGATCGTAACGTGCAGGTGAATTTACGTTGTATCGAGAGTGCGCACGTCGGGGACCGCGCCGTAGCGTGTGTTATGTCGAGGTTTATGTTATGTAGGATTATGTTGTGTGGAACAAAATTTGTATGGGAGTGATGCTGTTTCGGGGCGGGATTTGATTTTTTTACTTACCAGCGAGGTTTATGTACAAGTGAGAGTTGTTATATCGAGAGCAGACCTGTATCATACACAACCTGTATGAAAGACACTGAAACTACCGGACCAATCAAGAACTGCTTCTGGAGGTCCTGCAATACATCAACTTATCTGTTTAGTACTAGCACATGTACCTGTCCAGCTTTCAAGCGGAATGGTCCACCGCCAGTCATGTCCTTCACTTCTGGAAACGAACCGCGGGGACTGAACTCAACCGTCGTTCCTACACATCACACATCACACACACACACACACACACACACACACACACACACACACACACACACACACACACACACACACACACACACACACACATACACACACACACACACAAACACACACATTTCATGGACAGCACATGACATTGTCATGACTAGCATGAGAGTCACTAGACTGGATATTCCTGCACACCCAGCATACCAACCAGCACACCACCATACCGCCTGTCAAGAATCAATGTACGCACAGCAAACCTTCAGTATGACGTACAGTAAAACCTGTACTGACTATAGACCCATGTGACTAGCCACCAGCCTGGTACTACAGACCACTTCGTCAGCCTGGGCACGGCCGGTCTCACATTCATAATGGTTGTGCGGTGCAAACCTCTAACTAAGGACCACCTGCCACTAAAGACCGCTCTTTCTCTGTCCCCAAGGGGTGGTCGTTAGTCACAGGTTTTACTGTATCTCCATGGGGACGTAATTATCTTTACGCTATGATCAAGTGACTGGAAACTAATACAGTAGCTTGGTTTGTCACTCCATACATGTTCGCCATTCAAAATCTCATACGAACTATGCAGACCTGGGAACCGCTCCGGTTGGCCAGGCCACGGCCGGACCAACATGTTTGGCCCCCTGACCTGTGTATTTACTGCTGAGGAGGTCATGTGTCTACCCTGCAAGGCTCCATACCATACACAAACTGTATGAAAGGCTAGGGTACCCCCGGGTATGGCCGGGCCAATCAAACACTGCTTCCGCCGGTCCTGCTATGTCTCTTACTGTTTGGTAATGCGAACGATTTCGTTGGGGGAGTCAGAGGAACCGCTCACGAGCGCTCAGTACCGTATTTCCCCGAATATAAGTCTCACCTTTTTACACTATTAAACTTTTAAAACTTCAAGGGCAAAGAAGGGGATGCGACTTATAATCGAGAGTGACATCCTACTTATATGCATGTATTGAAACAATGTGGTTCAAACCTCAAAGTGGGGGTGCGAATTATAATCGAGTGCGCCTTACAATCGGGGAAGTACGGTACATAGCATGAGTTTAGTTGTTTGTCCGTTTGTTTGTTTGTTATGGCTTCTTGGTTTAGTCAGTCATTCAGCTTCTTTTATTTTCGCGGAGAAGGCGGAGAGTCCGAAAGTGCCGGACCTTGTATAAAAAGATATACTTCAACCAATCAAAAAAAAAAAGAGTCTGCGGATTCGCTTATGGGCGCTATGTATGCAGCGCGAGTCGTTAGTGCAAGTGCAGCGCTGTGCACGACTTCGCCGAAGCCACATGATCTCAACTTAGCTCACACTGTACCCCATCGTGACCCCATCCCCCTGCAATGTGTTGGTTTCCTTACTTGCTAGACTGATTTTATATGATTCTGGACTGATTTGAATCATATTATCTTCCTTATTGGCCATGGGCCATCGTGGAAATAAAGAATAATAATAAAAATAACTTATGATGTAATCGTATACCCTCTATGTACAGTCTAGTACTGATTTCCATTCCACGCAAAGCAGTATCATGCCAGGGTCACATTCGCACAACTTCACAAAAATCTAATCTGGCAACTATAATATTATAATTTAATATACGTTGCAGTTTGCAATTATTTGTAGTACCTGATCCTCTCATACTACAATATCAATTAAAATTTCTTACCGACTGCATCTCCACAGGCCATGCCCAGCAGCGAGCCTCGAATACGCGACGCAGCGGACAGTTCTCTAGCCATCGTTGCCGCTACAGCGATCGAGTGTTAGCCGTTATTGAGTGGAATAGGCACTACGCCCTGATCAGACTGTTTCCGGATAGAAGTGGAAGTTGTTTTTGTAATCCGTTAATAAGTGTTTGTGGACACCAACAGTAGAACCATGCTACAAAATGACCAACGCACAGACTCGTGCCTCCTTCAAGTTGTTGTGCTGCCGGCCAGTCATATTGTACCGGTAGAACTGATGCTATTACATTTTGAACTACCGGTATGTTACTCCAACGAAATAGTAGTTTCGTTGACGCCGAATGACGGGAGCCGATTGAATCTGATATTGATAAGCTTTGCACTTTTTCAAAGTTTTTGCTGACACGTGCACGTGTTGGGTGTGCGTGTGTGTGACAAGTCCCTACGTCATGATTGTAGCGCTCAGCTGATCAGCCTCAGAGACAGACTCAGAGGCTCAGTCCGACAGTCGCCACTGCACTGGCCAGTCGAGTGAGACAACAGTCAACAGCTAGCTAGCTAGCTAGCTAGCACCAAAATAATCGTGGTGGTCACCATGCATGGTCACCTTCATCATAAGTTCATGATCATGAGCTGTGTGAAGATCTGGATCTTCTGCACTCGTACTCTGCAGACTGCAGTCCAGTTCTGGTCAGAGTCAGACACAGTCAGATCAGGGTAGGTGACACGACTAGACTCACACGAGACGAGACTGAGTGAGAACCTGTGAGAAGGCCAGCTGATCGCTGCACTAAAACCAACGTTCTCGCACAGCGATAAGCCGCACGCGCCACACACCAAACAACAGCACATTCGCGGTTAGGAGGGCCAGAACGGCAGAAGTGTGACACCACGTTCTTTGAACTTGTACTTTGTAGGGTCCGGCGGATTCTGCCGGCAGAAAAATTGGCAAAATTCGGTACTTTTTCTGGTAAGTTTCATGCATGTTTGATATGTGGATAAAAAATGGAGCAGAATTCGAGGAATTGCCCGCCATAAGGTTGGTATGGTTCTGCCAATTTCACTGCTTTTCGAGCAGAATCTGCCACCTTTTCGAGCAGAATCCGCCCGTCCCTACATTGAAGGATGCGGAATTGTAGAATAGCGGAAGAAGGGACAGAGCACATATATATATTCTACTAGCAGCACCCCAGGCCAGCGTTGCCTGGCCGAATGTGGCATGCGGGTGAAGCAAGTACATGAACAGCACACTTGCTCAGCACGTGGTGGTGGCCAGACCGCTGAAGTCCTGGTGAGGAAGGTTCTTCGTGGTTGGAAGGAGAAGGAGGGACGTCTGTTACGCCTTCGGGAGGCTGGTCAGGGTTGTCCATCACCTGGTGGCGGATGAAGCGGCTCAAAAAATTCATAAACTTACGAACAAAAGTGCGATGCGCTCTTCACTGCAGATCAGATGCAGAGTGCAGTCAGTGCAGATCTTATCCTTTTGTTGCAGATGTTTCTATTTGCAGAGAACGGTTCACGTGGTCCGCAGCGCTTGTACTAATCGTGCGGCTGCTAGTGCTACCTAGGCTATGGCCTAGGCTAGGTGGCTACATGATTCGCACGCTTTGCGTGCTCAGTGCTTCTGCGCGCGGCCGCGGCTGCTACTGCTACTCGTAGTCGTACTGATCGTGGCTGCTACCACCATACACTGCACTGTTCGCACGCTTCGCGTGCTCAGCACGTGGTGGTGGCTACACGATTCGCACGCTTCGCGTGCTCAGCTCAGTGCTTCTGTGGCTGCTTCCGCTAGCTACACGATTCGCACGCTTCGCGTGCTCAGTGCTTCTGCGGCCGCTAGCTAGCTACACTGTGCTACACTGTTCGCACGCTTCGCGTGCTCAGGGCAGCGCTGCTCCGCAGCGCTTCAGCGTGACACAAAACACACGTCACAGGTGCCTCTTCTTTATAAGGAGCGTGACACACACACACACAGACACACGTCACAGGTGCCTCTCTTTTATAAGTAAAGATGAAAGCAACGCAATGGCAGCAACTGAGAGAGCAATGACCGAAAACCAGAAGCACCACTTGGGACCGTCAGAGCCGAGCCAGCCGGGGAAAAAACCCTCGCGCCGACGGGCGACGGTCGCCGCCGACGGACGCATTATTTTTTTAGGGAAAAACCAGGTGTAAAACCCCAAGTGGCTGGAGAGCCTAATCTGACAAGTACAAAAACCAGGGAGGGAGGCGCTCGAGGGTGGGCCGGGTACCTCAAGACGACTGGCCAGTCGTGCTCATGCGCAGCGGACTAGAGAACATGTGAAGATGGGAAAATATACCACTATCAGTAAAAAATTGATCAGATGGCTGCTCACTTGTGAGAAAAACACAAGAAAAAACCGCTGTGACGAGAAAATGCTTCTCGCCTCTGTCGCTGCACTCTGCCGTCGCGAAGATACCATTCTCGCACAGCGATAAGCCACACTCGCCACACACCAAACAACAGCACATTTGTATTGCGGTTAGGAGGGCCAGAAGTGTGACTGCTAGACAACGCATAGTAGGGGTAGAGCAGTGGAAGAAAGCGGACAGAGTACAATACGAATTCAGCTATAGTTGCGCATATCTGTACGAGTATGGTTATGGTATACATGTAGACAAGCTAACGCCGTGTTCGGCCTCAGCTATTTTGTTTTTATAGTACTAAGCAAAGTCATAGGCCAATAGCAGGCGCGTGCGCCGGTGCCCTTCAAGGGGGGGGGGGGCGGGGGCCTCCCCCCGGAAAAATGTTCAAAAACGAAGCAAAATCCTGCATTTTTAGTGAAAAAAGGGGTGTTCCGGGCACCCAGGAACCCATACGGGGCACGCGCCTGATTAGAGATTGAGACAACTGGAGGAGCTGGGGAAGCGACTCCTCTATATACCTAGTACTGTATTGGTATTTATTTATTTGAATTCGGTATCTCAACAGTACAATGTACAACTAAGTAACTTAGTTACTTGGGAAGATCCGAATGACATAGATACATAAACATAAAAGTGGAGTAGGTGCTACAGCTGATCTTTTTTTTTTTTTTTTTTTTTTTTACAAAGACCACTTAATGCCAAACATGAGATGCAGCTTTATCGCAGGTTGTGGGACTAAACTAATAAGTCTGTACCAGTATGCAACCTATTCTTGGAGGAGTCCGACTTCCAACCGCCATGTCGCTTGATCAGTCTGTCAGCGGTCCCAGCACTGGCAGCAGTAGAAGCGGCTAGCTCCAGAGCGCATACTGTGAAGGCCGTATTAGTACTCCTTGGGCCAGTTGGGGTCAAGTCCGACGATGGCCAGGCATTTTCGCACCTTCTCCAGGCCGCAGGATTAGCTGATGGCGATAGGCCTCAGTCAGGCGGTGCAGCTCGTCCCACCGCAACATTGCGGAGAAGCCCAAGACAATGAGGGTGATTGTCTGCAGGTCAGCCAGGGAAGTGGACGGGTCGGAGCCGGAGTAGTGCTCGATGATGCGCTGCACTTTCGTGGACACGAGTGTCTTCTTCGGCTTGACAGGGCGCGTAAGCAATCTCTGAGCAACAACAGCCTGTCTCTTCCTCCTCATGCCGTCGGCCATGACCGCCCACTGATCTCTTGCATTGGTAACATGCTGAGTGGGTATACTTCTTCTACTACTGGCTACTACTGGCGCCACGTCATATGCTATGAATGTTTTGCCTGCACATAATTGCCCAGGCTTGTTGCTCATCACTAGTGTGTGAACACATCTCGCCCTGCATTGCGCAACCGCTGCATTGCCGTCAACCACGTCTCTTGTGTCTGTGCAGCTGCATTGTTTCATGCTTGTGTCTGTGCAGCGCCATTCCTTAGTCGATTCAGTTATTTTGCCAGCCCTCGCTCTCTATGCTAACATATCTTCCCTTGTCACAATGAACTCTTCCTTAAACGATTCAGTTATTTTGCCAGCCCTTGCTCTACGCTAACATGTATCATCCCTTGTCACAATGAACTCTTGCTAGCTCGGTGTTCTAAAACATCACCGTCGTTCTACCCTATTCCCTATTTTTTACTCCCTACGTGCCAGCAAGAAAATTAATACTCCTCCACAAAACTCACTTATTTTAGAAACTCTCGTTTTACATTTCTTCATTTTAGACATCTAAAATCATAAGAAAGGTTTGCTCGCCACACCGGAGCTCGCGCTATTCCGCCGACTTTACTTGACACTTGACTGACTCACGACTGCCATCCAGAGCACACGAGAAGTCCATCGAACCTTCGACTCGGCAAACCTGCAAGAAAGCACCACTCCCTGCTCAATACACAGTGTTTCGGGGAATTCACCCCTCATCAGTTGAGCTTGAGTAGGCTGAGGAAGATTGTGCCTGAAGAGCACCACTTATATAGTGCTCTCCAGGCACAAACATCACCAGGGATACAAACTTACAGAGACGCTCCGCTTCCAGCGCGACAAACACCTCGTGAACACCAGATAGCAGCGTGAGTCAGTGTCGCTCCTGGACGGTGAGACAGACGTCGAGGACCCTCGGTCATTCGCAACGCTGTCACCTCCAAACCAACTAGTCGCAAGCCCGCGCTGGGCACAACAGTACGAAGTAGTGGTTGCGACTTCGGCTTCGGGCTTCGGGCTTGCGACTAGTTGGTTTGGAGGTGACAGCGTTGCGAATGACCGAGGGTCCTCGACGTCTGTCTCACCGTCCAGGAGCGACACTGACTGACGCTGCTATCTGGTGTTCACGAGGTGTTTGTCGCGCTGGAAGCGGAGCGTCTCTGTAAGTTTGTATCCCTGGTGATGTTTGTGCCTGGAGAGCACTATATAAGTGGTGCTCTTCAGGCACAATCTTCCTCAGCCTACTCAAGCTCAACTGATGAGGGGTGAATTCCCCGAAACACTGTGTATTGAGCAGGGAGTGGTGCTTTCTTGCAGGTTTGCCGAGTCGAAGGTTCGATGGACTTCTCGTGTGCTCTGGATGGCAGTCGTGAGTCCGTCAAGTGTCAAGTAAAGTCGGCGGAATAGCGCGAGCTCCGGTGTGGCGAGCAAACCTTTCTTACAAATCATCGCCGAAGTCGCAACCACTACTTCGTACTGTTGTGCCCAGCGCGGGCTTGCGACTAGTTGGTTTGGAGGTGACAGCGTTGCGAATGACCGAGGGTCCTCGACGTCTGTCTCACCGTCCAGGAGCGACACTGACTCACGCTGCTATCTGGTGTTCACGAGGTGTTTGTCGCGCTGGAAGCGGAGCGTCTCTGTAAGTTTGTATCCCTGGTGATGTTTGTGCCTGGAGAGCACTATATAAGTGGTGCTCTTCAGGCACAATCTTCCTCAGCCTACTCAAGCTCAACTGATGAGGGGTGAATTCCCCGAAACACTGTGTATTGAGCAGGGAGTGGTGCTTTCTTGCAGGTTTGCCGAGTCGAAGGTTCGATGGACTTCTCGTGTGCTCTGGATGGCAGTCGTGAGTCAGTCAAGTGTCAAGTAAAGTCGGCGGAATAGCGCGAGCTCCGGTGTGGCGAGCAAACCTTTCTTACAAATCATCGCCGAAGTCGCAACCACTACTTCGATCTAAAATCATGTTCAAAATATATAATGTGGTAATGGCGGGAAAAGGGGTTCCTGGCTGTCTGGAAGGGTTAGAGTGGAATACTATACTGGGCGAGCAGCAAAGGCTGCAGGACAGTCCAGGGGACAGTAAGCTAGCCTGGGGAGGGAGGGGGGGGGGTGTCCAGGGGGCAGGAAGCTAGCCTGGGGATGGGGGGGGGGGGCTGCTGGGCCAGTCCAGGGGCAGGAAGCTAGCCTGGGGGGGGGGGGGGGCTGCTGGTCCAGGACAGTTTAGGGGACTAGTCTGCTGGGCCCAGGGTCTGGAAGAGTGCAGGGTGCTCGGAGAGAGGGGGCAGCTTCCAGCTGGGGTGGTCTGGCAGGGGATCTCCTGTACGAGGTTATTAGCGGGGAGGAGTGCAGGGTGGTCGGAGAGAGGGGGCAGCTTTCAGCTGGGGTAGTGTGTGGGTGGTCTGGCAGCTAGGGGATCTCTAGTACGATGTCAGTAGCAGCCTGCTGGGCCAGGGTGCATGCTCTGAAAGGTTACTTGAAGTATTGTTGATGTCCTGTGCTCAGTGCTGCTGCTGCTGTCACTGCTGCCACTGCTGCTACTGCTACTGCTGCTGCTACTGCTACTGCTACTGCCACTGCTGCTG